ATATTGGCGAGTCTTTGGTGAAGTAAAAATGCTGGATGCTGGTGGATGAGATGATGATGGAGAACATGAAAAGATGATGATAATGATGATGGTAAGCCCATCAAGGTAATCCTTTTTTTTACTCATCTTTTCTGGCTTTTTTCTCTCTCTCTCTCTCTCTCTTTCTCTTCCTATTTTCTAGATTCTAGTAAAATCCATTGGTAATCATCATCATCATCATCTTTGTCAATGGTTGTCACTATTGATGATAACCAAAATGGAAGAAAAAGTTCAATTTCCCCTGAAGATTATCATGAAACTAAAGTTTGAACAAAATCTTTGCCTGGTAAATGTTTACATTGGTCAGAAACGATAGTAATCAAAACCTTTTAAATATTTTGAGACAATTTTTCCTCTTCAACTCTGTTGGAGTATTACTAATCTGCTTGGATTGAAGATTCATTTCCGATGATATTAGATTAAGATGTTTGTTGTTTAAATCCTTAATGTCATCGATTGTGGTATCATGCATTTCATGAGTATACTAATAAAAGTTCAATCGGATGAGAAACTTTTTTTCTAGCAAAAAATTTGGACGATAGAGAAAAGGTTCTGATGAATTTTTCAATGAACTTTAAACGATTAACTGATAAGAGGGTTCGATTTAACCTTTCGAGACCTTTTATTGCATGAATCATTGTCAATCTCATGATGGGAACTGAAATTCTGATGCTCAATGAGATTGTCAAGTCAGTCAAAATCTATTCGATTGTAATCAGGATTGAGAGAGAATAAAAAAAAACGATTAAATGACCATTAGCTGGACTTCGTGACATCTTTATCTGAAGAAGAGAATAATGTATTTTAGATTGTTCATCTTAGATGATAGAAAAACATCAACATACAAGAAGAAGAAACTGAATTTTGATCATGATCATGGTCATGATGAATTAGTGGGTTAGCAAATTGTCTCAAATCAAATTTCACTTTCAAGTAAATCATTAATTCATGAGGTTTAATTGGTTGTAGTTGTGGAAACTTTTCTCCATCCATAGATCATCTTGATGATCAATTCACACCAATTGGTTTCTTTTTTTTCACTCATTTCATGAGATTTGAACTTAAAGGTTGAAGAGAAAGTGAAATGATTCAAGAAATGAGTTTCATGAGACAAAAAGAAGAAGAAAAAAAAATAGATTCCATTACTCGGTATTATATCTACAGGATTAATTTGCAGGATGAAAAAGAAAGACAAAAAGAAAGAACTTGAATTAAGATTGAGAATGATGATGATAATGATGATGAAGAGAAAAGAAGATAAGAAAGATAGATGATTATGGTGAAAATTATTGCAATTGTTCTGGAGAAGATAAAAAGTTCTGATTGATAGTTAAGAAAAAACTAACTCTGGATACGAAATAAAAATCTCATCTTCATCTCATGATGATGAGATTTTTGTTCATTTAAAATCATGTAAGATGTTGTCTTCCTTTAGTTAGCTAATAAGATGATGATGATGATGATGAGCTGCGAGTAGATGATTGTTACGAAAAAGTATAATGATGATCATGATGATAATAGGAACAGATGATCTTGATGGAGTCAATTGTGATTCTAAGGCTTCAAAGTTGATTCAAGTGATAAGACACTAAAAAGATGATGATTATGATGCTGAAAATCATGAAGCTTAAGATATTGAAAGAGCATCTTCTCTGTCATTAGTTTATTTTGGTAAGATAATTAAATTATTTCTACCTTTTTGAGTTCCTAATGTTTTCTATTTATCTCTCTCTCTCTCTCTCTCTCTCTCTCTCTCTCTCTCTCTTCTGGTTTATCTTAACTCATGTATATTACATCTTTTATCATGTTGACTTTGATTGCACTTGGGTCCACCGGCGGAAAAAGCTTAATATGCTTAAGGATAAACTGAGATGATAAAATACTATTACAAACACAATTGTTTTCTAATTGTAATTGGTATGGCCATTTAGCTTTTCGACAATTTCTCGTTGAATAACATTTCATATTTACACATTTTACTATCTCTCGCAATCAGAGTGATTTAAAAGATATTCAATATCCATGATATCAACTTTGAAAAGGGAATAGCTAATGAATGAAGCAGAGTAATAGACCATAGAAATGAGAAGAAAGTCTGAAAAAGGTTCGATTCAATATATAGTTTCTATTTTGAAGAATTAGGGAAACTTACGATTACAATAACAAATAAGAAGAGTGGGAGTGGAAAAGGTTAAAAACTAAGGAACAAAGAATTATCCATAAGTAGATTTACAATGTAGATGAACGATACAAAGTATTAAGAGTACAGGGTGATTTGACTGGACCCTTCAGACTTTAAACTTTAATAACTTCTTTATTTCTGAGAATTATTTTTTGAATTTTATATTGTTGGAAAGCTCAAAGTCTAAAATAGTTAATTAGACCTTATTGGAAAGTTTCTGTCCTGATTCATTTAAAAAAAATTCGAATTATATCAAAAAACAGACATTTTTCCAATAGAGAAAATCGCTACCAAAATTGTAGATTTACTTAGAGGTCCTATCATTCAAAATTAATTTATTCGTGAACGAATCAAGATAAAATTAATTCTTAATATACATATTGTAGCTCTTGAAATTCTCTTTAATAGGAATGTTAATTTTAATTGTTAGTGCTCTTTTATCAAATTTTACAGCATTTTTCGCGCGAAAAAACTCGAAATAAACACGGTATGAGAAAAGACCCTGTAACAATAGCACCTTTATAAATTTCATTGATTTAAGTGACCTTAATTATTTTCTAAATGTTGATTAATATTTATCTATGAACGAAAAAACTGAATAAATTGCTATAAAAAAGTTATTAGAATTTAAAGGCTGAAGGGTCCAGTCAAATCACCCTGTAAAAAGAATAGGAAAGTGTTTTTAATGATCAAAAAGCATGATAATGATTGAATTCTATTGGAATTCATGTTACAATGTGATTCATTTTCGAGTTGATCATCATAAACATGATTACATGGAAGTTTTTTTCTTTCTTTCATTCCAAGATTAATTTTCTGGGTAATTTAACTCTTACCAATAGTTTTACCTCTAATTTCCACTCTGATCAAACTAATATCTTTTCTATCGAGTCTTCACTCTTCTCTCTCTTCTCTACCTCATCTTTTTCATCCTTTTTCCTATTTATTTCCACCTTTGATCTTACTCAGTGATTAAATCTTACACTAATTGAGTTAACATTAAGAGTTTGCTTCCAATTATCTCTTACCCTTGTAATAGTTTGTTATGATAATTACAATTCACCTTTAACATCAATGAAAAGACTCAAAACGAAAAAGTAAAACTTTACCCTTTACAAACTGACCATTCAACTGACCTTCCACTTCAAGTGTATAATCTTCAATTGTAATAGTCTTACCCCTCCCATCCTTTTTCTTATATCACCTTTTCCTCCCTTAGTCTCATGTTTACCTGTTTTCTTATTATCTTATTAAGTTTAGTTCACATACACAGGGAATCAATTTATCTACTATAAGTGTTATTATTTTCATGGTAACTATTGATGAAGGAATAAACAATTTACTTCCTTGTCTCTCTCTCTCTCTCTCTCTCTTAATTCACATTCCCTCCTTTTTACACCACGGAATTCAAAAGGTTATGTAGATTGTAACAGTTAGAGAACAACTTGACTTATCATCGATAATGGACAAACGCTGTCTTCATGAATACTTTTCGAATCCCTACTTTCTACTGTTAATATCTTCCTTTTTCTCTCCTCTCCACTTTTCTCTCTCATACACACTCACACATCTCCATCATCCTTATAATCTTCATCTTCTTTGTTTACTAAGATCAAATTATCTTTTCGACTAACAAGTCAATTCCTCTCTTATAACCATTCATTCATGTATATTTACATGTGATAACAATTTCTTATACATATTCGTAGGTGTGAAATATTGTTGTTATTTTTTTTTCTCCTTGTTAAGCCTTCAGATTATTTTGGATAAATTGTCACAATTTAACTATTGTCACTCGATACATAGATAAAAGTAGAAATACAAATATTATCTTTAATAGATATATACTAGTATATTTATAAGTATCATTGATTGTGTCTATTGATAACAAAAGTAAACCAAATTGGACAAGTTATGTGACTCAATCATATTGAACATTATTGCTCATTCATTTCATTAAATTACCATCATCATGATATTGAATTTTTTATGTTACCTTTATCTCAATTCAGGTTAATAATGTACACAAACAAATTACACCTCATTATGTTGATTCATTCAATGGGCATTCGTATACTGGAACCGTCTCTCATTCCCTCTATGATAATCAAGGGAAAGATTATATTTTATCACATAGGAATTTCCAACTTTCCAGTAGAGGGAAATATATAAATCTCGTCCATGAATAGGCTCAACAGTTTAACGATAAAAAAGTTTTCCAACTACTTGTACATTATATTGAAATTGATTCGAAAATTTTGATCGTTTTCATGTTCGATTTTTTTTTATAATTTCCATTCAATTTCGTTATCATCACAGTTCTCAAAGATTAAAATGATTTGAGAGGAGAAAATCGTTTGTATTATTTATGAGTACATGTAATTCATTGTTTATCTGTAAATTTGGATCAAATTATTGGCCATGTTAAGTGGATAATTGAGTTGTTCCCAATTACATTTACCTCATCATATTGTGGTGATGGTCATCTTCATGAAGATAAAAATATAATATCAAAAGAGGAAAATGTAATATCTTTGGACTCGAAAGAAATCATCATAACCATTATGAGAATCGTTATTGTCATGAGAAAATAACAAACAACTAATATTATTATTACTCTCGATAGTTAAGGCATAATAATAAATATTAGAAACAAACTGATGTAGATGAAGATTGTCAAGTGTATTTGATGATGATGATTATTATTTTTACTCATTGGACAATTGGATCGAGTCTCATAATGCTTAGCTTTAATAAGTTAATATTCACAATAATCAAATTCCAGGAAAATTGTTGTTCATTTTAATGACAATCATCATAGTGAGTTGATGAGCTTTACGATAATTTAACAATTTCTGTCTTATATAAAATTCACATTTCATGATTTTCCAACGATAAATACAAATTACTATTAGAAAGATTGATTTTATTTATACACAATTGAGAACATTAAATATTAATCAAATAAACGATGAAAAGAGGATGAGAATCGAAAAAAAGTTGAAAGTAATTAACTAATTTGAAAATAAAAACAATTAAGTGTTACAATGTTGTGTCTCCATGAGACCATCAGAAAACTTTTTCAGCATTATAACGTTTCCTTTAAATGTTATATCACAATTAATTTGATAGATTAGGCTGCTAACTAATTAAATTACCAAATTAAAAGGTTATTTATCGAAAGAAACATAAAAACAATTTATTTAATTGTCCAATTTATCAGCAAAAGTAATTTCCTTCCATTATTATTGGCACCATGGTTCCGAATATCGTTAAACACCATAAAATTATCTGTGAGTATTTGGTTTTAGGATATTCAGATGTTGATCTATCTGTTAATCAGAATAAAAAAAAAGATGAGATGTCATTATTATTTGCTAATAAACAATTGATTGTGGAATAATGATAAATCTGTTGATGGTGATGATGATGATGATGCATGGATTTCAACTCAGACTTTAAAGATGATCACGATATTTTCTGATAAAGTTCATTGATGAACAAAAATAAATCCTCAGTACCTTAAAATATTGTAATAAGATACTAAGTGTATAAAGATTGTTATTAATATTGTCTATTAAATGTCTTCACCATGATTGATTGTTGATATTAATCCACTTGTATGATTGATAATATGAAAAGTAAACTTGAACTTGCATCAAGTTTTGGTTAGATTTTATCATGGGAAAAAAATGTTCCAAGTTCATTTGGATAAATTATGTTGTCAATGTTTCAAGAAGATTAGTGAATGTGTAGCATAAAGATCATCTTATCCTCAGGTTGGATCGGATTTTTTTCATTTCTCCCTCCTTTCTCTCTCTCTCTCTTTGTGTATGGTAATTCAATTTGAAAGGAAAATAGCAATATTAAACTTTCCAATGCTTCTAAAATAGTCATGAAAATTGTTCACAATCTTTTGGAAAAGTTCTGATAACAGTTTGACAATAAACCTTTGAAGGTTTTGACATAGAAAACGAATACAACTTTCTGAGTGTAGCTGTTTTTTTTAATGGGGGTTGAATTTGGTGTTAAGTGAAAATACTAACACATTATCATGTTATGAATGTCTAGGATCATTGAGGAAGTCTGAATGTTTTCAGTAGATAAGCAGAAAGTTCAATGATTCAGAGCTGATCAGTATAAGGTTTCCCACCTTATCATCTCACCTGTTCATCATGATCCATCCATTGAATATTTAAACAACTTTTCTCTCTCTCTCTCTCTCCATCTTGATAATGTTTCACCAAATTTCAAGGATTACAGATTCAATTTAGTAATATATTAAACCTTTCAGCAACTTTTATGAGTAGAACATAAAATTATCATAAAGAAAGTTCAGTCTCATGAAACTCATAGTATATAAATTCAAGAAAAAAAACTCACATGATTAAACTAAATCCTTCAGATGTAAGAAATAATTTAAATTTAATTTACTTTGAGTAAACAATAATTTCACCTCGAAATTACAAAAGATTCAATTAATTTCAACCCATTAACCAAATAGGTGACAAGGATCAGGTTCATGAGTTAATTAATGTTCATGGTGAGTGTTTCATATAATTGAATGATTAACAGAGAATCATAATAATCATTAAAATCAATTGTTTAAATGGGAACATTAACTTTCCTTTTAATTGCCATGTTGATTTTAAATTTACCCTTGTTAATTGTTGATAACAAGAGTAAATGTGTAAACAATTAAAACAATCTCTCCGGGTAACTCATGTGTATATACAAATTGCTAAATTAATTAGATCCAATTAGTTGAATAGTTTTTACCAATAATTAAACCAATAAATATAGCATAGAAACATGTATATTATTCAGTATTTAGACTGACCAGTTGATGTAAAAACAATAGTGACCAAACAATTTAGCTGCCATTAAATTATTTGCTAAATTGTTTTAACAATAAAAAAGTTTTATTATCGAGGGTTGAAAACGGATTACCTTTTAATGATAATAATAGAGGCAAATAATTCCTTACATGAAACTCATATCATTTATCATGAAATATGATATTTCATGTTCTGATCCTTTCAGATTAGAAAATATTTTTTTCTTGAGCTTCTTAAAGGAGTAAGAAGGGAAAAAAATGATTTAGAATTCATTTTTTTCTCTATCTTTCTCTTGCTCCACCAACATGATATAATATTAAGATTATATATTAAGTTCAACAGATATTGTCATTTTAATCATGATTATCATGAGTCTTATTACTGAACATGATTAAATGATGAGGGATAATGTTGCCATGTGTATTTACTCATCAATTATCATGATAATCCATTGGCTTGAATTTATTATCATTGAATAAAAGAAGGAGGTAAAAAAAAGTTCAGTTCAGAAAAAGTTTTTTTTCCTCATCTTCTTTCAATACAATTCAATGTAACCGTGAGATTGGAAATTTTTATCCTGAAAATTATTCCATTCTGTTTACTTTTTCTCATGACAAAATGACTGGTTTTTACCTTGAGACGAAATCAGATCATCATAATCATCATGGTGACTATTGAAATCATCACGGGGAAGAAAATAATATATCATTTTCTCCAAAATGTTAATCTAAACATATATAGGGCATTTCACCAAGTTTCCAACAAGTTTTTCGCGAATAACTTTTTTGTCTTTGGGTATTTAGACTCCAGACTCGATTTATAGGAGTTTGAGCGATACTCAATTGTCATATACAAAGATCAAGGTCATTCAGGTCACGTGTAAAATAACGCGTTTCAAGGTCATTTGAAGGCATTATCATAAAAAAGTATGTGTGAAAACACCAATATCAAATTTTCAGGCTCTTATATCTTTAGGGTCAACTGTTATGATAAGTTTTGTTTATTAAAGAATCTCAGTACCTTTTTAATTAAACTGCAATATCTTCTGATTGACACTTACAACTAACTTCAAAATCTTAACCCAAGATGAAAAGGTGTTGCAAATCATAGAGTGACCATCAAATGACCTTGAAACGCGTTATTTTACACGTGACCTGAATGACCTTGATCTTTGTATATGACAATTGAGTATCGCTCAAACTCCTATAAATCGAGTCTGGAGTCTAAATACCCAAAGACAAAAAAGTTATTCGCGAAAAACTTGTTGGAAACTTGGTGAAATGCCCTGTAGATGTTACAGTGGAATCATATCGATGAATTTAATCAGATTCAATCATGATATAACGATTATTTCAGCTGAATGATTACTACACGATGATGATGAGAGAGAGGATGATAAAAATGGAGTTGCAATATTTTCCAATGCAAACTCTTATGAGACATTGAACAATATTCAATTTATTTGGGAAAAGTATTTTATGATTTGATTTAATCATTGGCTTGATTCATTTCAACAGAATCAACAATGGAAATTAATTTTCATCCATCATGATCCATGGGATGAATTATATATTATTTGATTTGATTGTGAATCCAATTCACATGAAACCAAAAGTGTTTACTCTGATTCCAAGGGAAATCAAATCAAACTTTTTTTTTCGCTTTTTCAATTGATAATTTTCGCTTTGTTTACATAACAAGTAAATTGCAATTATGACTATCATTGTAAGGGGATTAGCCTTTGTTATTTGTAATTATGAAATCATCCCTCAATAATTAGATCAGCTGATACAATTGAATACCTTAAATAGTCACCAGCTTGAGAAACTCAAGCTAGTGTTCTTAGTGTCTTTAGTGTTCTATTGTTAAAATCAAATTAATTCCCTTTAAAATACTTTAATTAACTACCTCAGATGAACTAACCCTAATCACCCTTTAACCTTTTCAAATAAGTTACCTTCAATAAAATTAACCGTCAATTGTGATACCTTTGAAAGTTCTGATAATTTCAGTGTTTAATAAAATTCAATTCACTCGATACGATCTTACTTGTGTCCTTATATTCCTAACAAATGGTGGAGATGTTCGCTATCATAAGTGATTGAATTGATATTAATTGTGGTACCCAATAATCACCAGTTGTTTAAATATTGACGGAGCTACTCCATCAGTATCTGGACTAGTGATTGACACTGTGCTAAGTAAAGGTTTTTTCTTTATTAGAACCATTTGAGATCAGAGTTACTCTATCTCAAATTAGTCACAATCTTAATTTCTGAAGGTCACCTGTGCGAATTAGGAAAATCTTCATCAATAATAAACCTAAAACTAAAACACTCAACAAAAGAAACAGTAGATTGAAGTTACTTCATCGACTGAAAAGCCAAGGAAAAGAATTAAAGAAAATTCTACAAAAAGAAAAAAGCGTTTAAAGAAAGAAAAGAAAATGACCGAAATACAAGATAATCTTACGTCATCGCCAATACGACAGCCAATAGATCAAAGATTGATGATTAAGGAACTTAATCGACAACAATTAATGGAGTTGGCAGGTCAATGGGTATAACAAAGATTAATAGTAAAATGATGAAATGTTGAAGAAAGAGTTACTTGAAGCTCATGCCGTTCAATACATTTATCAAAATGAAGAGATACCTACGACAATCGATATTACAAGAGATATCAGATTTAAATGGGAAGATGGAATAGAATTAAGAAAGAATGGTGCTAATTTTCTAACCCTTGGTACATTATTGGAAAATGGTATTAGAACAATTGAAGAGTTGGGATCGTATAATTGTGAACATTTAAAAGAGCTTGGAATCAATAGAGCTCAAGCTACATTGTTGGCTAACAAATATTCAACGCTATCGAGATTCAACAATCTATCGATTCAACAACCGTTCGAAATGCCGAGACAGCTATCGCTTCCTGCTCAATTGGCTCGTGATAGACTGAATAAAAGAAAATTCCCTCATAAAGAGACAACATTCGCAGAATTCATTGAAAGCGCGGAATATGATCTGAGAATCATTGACCGACAAGAGAAACGTGGAAAGACCACATAACGGTGTTGCTAGAAGGAAATTGAAATGTGACTGAGTCACTCAATCACACTTCGCCATTCTTAAGATATGAGGAATGGAAAGCGAAGATTAAAATCAACAGTAACAGCCTCGAGCGTTACACAAGCGTTATTTACGCTAACACAAAAAGATACAACAATGGAGAAGATCCGAATGAGTTCATCAAGAGAATTGAAAGCTCGTTAAAAGTAATTTATCCTCAAAGTGATGATAAAATTAAAGCTCTAACCCTATTATTGGCTCTCCCAAGAGAATTACAAAATGAGATTATACCAGAAGTCACCGAATTGAAACAGAAATGGTAAAAGAAAATTTTGGCTATTGAAAAAGATAAAATTTCTTCAAAGTCAAATGAAAAACAAGGAGAGAGAAATGGATACCAAGGTAGAGGTAGACAATCAAATGGCT